TTACCAAATAAGTATAATTTTTATTAAGTATATATATTCATACCTAATTTAATTTAGCTTTAGGATTAAAAAACCTTAGAATGCCTATATTCAGACTGATACCGGTCCGTATAAAGTTATACGGACCGGTATCGATCGGTCCATATATACACCTGAACAACAGCTTTTTATTTTTTATTTTTTGTTTTGTTCTTAAGTCGTTCTACTCTCGTTTTAAACCGTAACATTCCGAATGTTTGCATGCCAAAGTGGTTAACCTTAACAAAAAAAATTAATTTTATTTGCTTGTGGCTTCGAAAGAGCATTACGTAACATTATCTCTAATAACCTTCAACTTATACATTCGTGGTTTTACAACAATATTACTCCGTACCATTGTAAGATAATTTCAGGTAGACAATTGATGGTTTTGTGGTTCCAAGGGACTGTAGGGTCGATGTACATGCAATTGGTTTTCGCAGGAATGGATTTAGGGCACGAGAAGATGGTAATGTCCTTAAATGAAAAGAATAAAAAAGTGCACTGGGAGAAGTTTCTGGATTTTTTCTAGTATATTCGGACCAAAATCGGTCTGAAAAATAAAAAGTGTGGAAGCTTCTGGATTCTTTGCATATATTCAGACCAAAACCGGTCCGTATATATATTCATACTTAATTTAATTTAGCTTTAGGATTAAAAATCCCTCGGAGTGCCTATATTCGGATCGATACCAGTTCGTATATATTTATACGGACCGATATCGGTCCGTATATGCCCATGAACAACAGTTTTTTATTTTTCTTGTTATTTCGTGCTTAAGTCGTTCTACTCTCATTTTAAACCGTAACATTTCGAATGTTTGCAAGCCAAAGTGGTTAACCTTAAGACAAAGAATGAATTTTATTTGCTTGTGACTCCGAAAGAGCATTACGTAACATTATCTCTAATAACCTGAAACTTATACATTCGTGGTTTTACAACGATATTATTCTGTACCATTATAAGATAATTTTAGGTAGACAATCGATGCTTTCGTGGTTCTAAGGGATTATAGAGTCGATGTACATGCAATTAGTTTTCGCAGGAATGGATTGAGGACACGAGAAAATGGTGATGTCCTTTAATGAAAAGAATAAAAATGTGCCCTGTGGATTTTTTCCCAACATATTCGGACCAAAATTAGTCCGAATATGTTAATGTGATCCCTTGTAGGCTTAATACATATACGGACTGAAAATTGGTCCGTAATTAATTTATGGCCAAAATTTTACTGTAAATTTGAATTTTTCTGATTATGTGCTAATTTATTTATATTCGGACCGATTTCGGTCCGAATATTATTAATGCACCAAAAATTTTCTCGAAAAAATTGAAAATTTTTGGTGAGGCACGCCAATAAGGATTATACAGACCGAAAATGGTCCGTATAAGCCTTATATATATCACCACTTCTCTTCCTTTTACTCATTTTCTCTTCTTCCTCTCTTTCTTTTCTCTTCTGCCTCTCGTCTACTTCTTCTTTTTCTTACTTTTTTTTTTCTACTTCCTTTTCTTTGTCATTTCCTCTCTTCTTTTCTCTCTTCCCTTTTCTTTCTCATTTCCTTCTATTTCCTTTTCTTTCCTCTCTTTTTGCTCTCCACTTCTTCATCTTTTCTTTCCTTTTTTCTTTTTTTTTTCCTGTTTTCTCATATGTATTTTTAAAATTTTTTTTATAATATGTTTATATTTCATTAACCAACTTTTGTTTCTTTTTTTTTTTTTTGTAGGTTACATTTGGTGAACTTTAAAATTTTTCATATATATGTTTATTTTATTGCATTTTTCAATTTTCTTTTATATTTTTTTATATTTTGTTTTTTGTTTTGTAGGAAATGTGGAGAATTTCAAGTAAAAGCATTAAAGGTAATGATTTAATTAATATTTTGTTGTGATTTACATTATTTATATAGTTGTAGTTTATCTATATTTATATTTTATTTTTTATTTACAATTATAATTACCATCATTATATTTTTATTTATTTTTATATGTTTTATACTTACTAAATAAGTATAATTTTTATTAAGTAAAACTAAAACTAAAATTAAAATTTATTAAGTAAATATAATATAATTAAACTTTTACATATTTAAGTTATTATTTTAAGTAATTATTATAAGCATATTTTATAAATGCATTTATTTTGAATTGTAAAATTTATTTTTGCATTATTTGGTAATATTGTGTAATTATTAAATAAAATAAATCTGTTTTCTTTATTTTTTATTGTTTTTATTTTTTTTCCTTTAAAGATATTTACGGACCGAAAACGGTCTAGATATAGTTTGAGAATGACGCTGGTCAGGAGAGAAACTTTTAAAAGTTACAAACAAGTCCAACATATTCAGACCGAAAACGGTCTGGATATAGTTTGAGAATGGCGCCGGTTGGGTGAGGAACTTTTAAAAGTTACAAGCAAGTCCAATATATTCAGACCGAAACCGGTGTGGATATATTTTCAGAATGGAGCCGGTTGGGACAGTAATTTTTAAAAGTTACAAGAAAGTCCAACATATTCGGACCGAAAACGGTCTGGATGTAGTTTGAGAATGTCACCGGTTAGGCGAAGAACTTTTGAAAGTTACAAATAAGTCCAAACATTTCCGACCGAAAACGATCTGTACATAGTTTCGACGAACCTAGTTGCTGGGTTTCAACTTTGCTGGGTTCGGCCAATTCCATGCGTCTAGCCAAAAAATCCTTCTTCCAATTTTTCGATCTTCCCATTCATTACCCGTGAGCCCTTCATCTCCTAATTCTTTCCATTCTACCCACGAAAAATCTATAATCACTTGCAAATATAGACCGACTAATTGTTCTCGGATCATCGATTAACAATTTGATTTCATTTTCCTTGAAATTTGATTAGAGTTTGATTGTATTTTTGTTAAAATTTGATTAGAGTTTGATTGATATTGTTTATTGAAAGGTTAATTTGATTTGATAACATCTGCTAGGTTTGAGGCTCCAATGAAACCCAGTAGCTGGGTTCAATGACAGAGAATTCCAAATTCTCTGGTTTATAGACATATTATTTTGTAAGGACTCACCCCACTAGCAGTAGAGGCAACCCAACTCGAGTTAGATTGATTTTGCAGAGAGAGATTGATTTTGCAAAGAGTGATCTTATTGGTGGTTTGCAAGCAACGTGAAAGCCATTAAAAGGTCTTTGGTGCAGGAAGAAGAGGAAAAAGATGACATGTCATAAAAAAAATCCATATCAGCACTTTTTAAAGTTGTCCTTGCCATGTCATCAAAAAAAGAATAAAAAATGCCACGTGGCCAAGTTAACAGCTCAATTTAATAGAATGACAAACGTTGTGCATTTTTTAAAGTTGAGGGATCAAAAAAGTGCAAAAAATTGTTGAGGGACCAAAAATGTGCAACTCACTAAAGTTGAGGGACCAAATTTAGCATTTAACCTCTTTTTTTTCCTCCACTGCACCGAGCAACAAAGACCCAGCCAAGCCGACAGCCTTCCCTTGAGAAAATCGGTAAGAAGCTTGGTTTTTGCCTTTATTTTCTTGTTCAAGAACAAGATTTAAGCTTGGAAACATTCCCTCCCTCTGCAGAATTTCGGATCTGCCTTGCTCTGCTCTCCCCTGTCCACCGGCTACTATGTGGGTGTGTGATTTTTGGGCATTTTTCAGTATGCTACAGCCATGGGTCTCCTCCTTTTAGCCTTAATTTAACTTGAGTTACTCTAATTTGTGCTTTTGGTTCTCCAATTTTGAGGTAGATCCATGAGTTTCCCCTGCAGAATTGCTGCCGGCTTCTCCCTCCGCCAGGTTCGGTTTTGCAGCTGGAAAATTGTGGGTAAGCTGACAACCTCCCTTAAGTTCGAATTTTATACAATTGGTTGTTGCCTTTGCTGAATTTGGTCCTTGTTGTGGCTGCTCTGTGTTGTCCGAATTTTGTTGGAAAAATGGGGGAATTTCGGTAGCTTTAAGTGGATTTTGTTTAAATTAAGTGGAAATTAGCTTGAGTAATTGTTGTGAATTTGTCTTAGAGAAAAATCCTGTGAATTAGCCATTGTTTTGCCAATTTATGGAAGTGCAGTTACTGTTTATGTCGTGATCACTGTTCACGGATACTGTTCACGATACTGTTTACAGCACTGTTCACGCACTGATGGCCAACCATTAACGACGATTAAATGTTTAGTTTGTAATATAAAAACAAATTTGGAGATGTGCGGTCATATGGAGACTAATAGAAATAGTATCGTGATTAGGGAGTAGTCATGGTGATTTTACTTTTAAATTGGTGGTACGGTAATTAATTCTTGGATATTTTGATTAGGTTCTTGACCATTGGTTGCCCTAGCACTTGGGTCGAGTCATCTGTTTTACATGATTTGAGGTAAGTAACTTATGGTAATACCCTGGATTTAAGGTAAATATTTTAAAAGCAAATTTTTGATGGTTTTGAAATGGTGACGGGACTAAACTTGTTTTACACGAACATGATTGATTTGAAGTGAAATTTTTATGTTTTCATTAAATTGAGCATGCCTACTTGAAATTTAATTGATTGTCCTGATGATCTGAAAGTGATTAGTGAATTATGATTTTTCTGTTAACTTCTGCTTGTTTTGTCTCCGATATGGTCATGTTATTCGTGTGCCTGCTAGTGGGAGGTTTATAAACTCTAGCACATGTTGACATGTTATTGATAGAACCGGTTCGTTCGAGTGACCCTGCTAGTGGGGGTTATACACCAGCAAATAGTATAGCCTGCCTTGAGAGGTTTATAACACTGGCCATGATCTATAAAGGAGACGTCTATTTCGTTCCCGTACTGTATCCGTTTTTCGTTATTACACTTGTTGGCATGCTATAAGTTTAATAAGGGGCACTCCATATTTTACTTACTGAGTTATCTTATAGTTTTTCCTTGTCCACCATTTCAGGAAACGAAGTCAAGGACGGAGAGGGGAGTGACAAGTTAGAAGGCTAGCCATCTTGTAAAGTGAATATAGATTGTAAATATAGATCATGATCTTATAAGTTAGATTTAATTGGAGATTTTATAAATTCATTTAATGGATTGTTAGTTTACAAGAGATTTGATCTTGAGATTTTGAGCTTAAGTCATGTTGGACATAAAATTATTTTGAAATATTTGATTTAAGTTATTGAATTGTCAGATGTGAATTGGATAAGTTTCGATCCTTGTGCATTTGTAGGACCCTCTCACGAGTGCACGGCATCTGCCACGTCCTCGGATTTGGGTTCTGGGGCGTGACATTGTCCTTAAGACAATTATGATGAAAATTCTCAAGGTAACAATAATGATTCAAAGAGGACCAACATGGCATTTGGGAAATGACTCCTCGAGATTCTTTTGGTTCTGTCTTGTTGGTCTTATAAGTATAAGTAGCTAGATACCAATATTCAGAATTGGAAAGGAACTAAATCATGAAAGCAAAATGAAATTCACTAACATTT